GTATATAGATTTTGTCCCTGAAAATCTTTTCCAATAATTTCCCTACCACTGTGTGAGACTCGCTGGCCTAGAATTTCCGAGATTATTCCTGCTACCCTTCTTAAACAGTGGGACAACATTGTCTATTCTTCAGTCCTCTGGGACCTCACCTATGGTCAAAGAGGATACAAAGATGTTAGTCACTTCTCCGGCAATTTGTTCTCTCACCTCCCTCAATATTCTGGGATAGATCCCATCAGGACTTGTCTACCTTAATACTTTTTAAGATGCACAACACCTCTTCCTTTTTAATAGCAACTTGGTGGATTCCCCTTATCCTGTTTGCTCATGACTTTTCATGACCCCTTTTCGCACTTCTAATTCCTTGTTTAAGTTCTTTCCTACTTTCCTTATATACTTCAAGGGCTTCATCAATTCCTATCCTCCTGGACCTTACATATGCTTCGTTCCTTTCTCTTTCTGATCAAGGTCATAACATTCCTGGTCATCCAAGGTTCATGTCACTTCTCATACCTATCCTTCATTCTCACAGGAACATGCCACTCCTGAACTCTTATCAAATGCAATTTGAAATACTCCCACAAGTCTGATGTAGATTTACCGTCAAACAGCCACTCCAATCAAAATTCTTCAGTTCTTGCCTAATATTGTTGTAGTTTGCCTTCCCCCAATTTAACACCTTCACCTGAGGACCATTGTTATCGCCATCCATGAATAACTTAAAATTCACTGAATTATGGTCACTACTCCCAAAATGCTCCCCCACTGAAACTTCACTTACCTGGCCGAGCTCATTTCCCAAAACCAGGTCCAGTATAACCCTTTCCTTGGTTTGACTGTTTACATATTGTGTCAAGAATTCCTACTGAATGGTCCTTACAAACTGTGCCCCATCCAAGTCCCTAGCACAAAGTGAGTCCCAGTCAATATAAGAGGGGAAGTTAAAATCACCACCACAACAACTCTGCTGTTCTTACATCTTTCCAAAATCTGTCAATGTATTCTCTCCTCTATCTCCTGCTGGCTGCTGGGAGACCTGTAGTATGCCCCCAGCATTGTGATTTCACTTTTCCTATTCCTGAGTTCTACCCATACTGTCTCACTGCACTGCTGTGAGATACTCCTTTACCAGTAATGCAACTCCCCCACCCCTTTTACCTCCCTTTCTATCACACCTGAAACATCTAAAACCTGGGACATTCAGCTGCCAGTCCTGTCCCTCTTTCAGCCAAGTCGCTGTAATTTCAATAATGTCATAGTTCCAAGTACTAACCAAAGCTCTAAGTTCATCTACTTTGCCTATTGTACTTCTTACATTGAAATACATGCATTTCAGATTACCTCCCCTGCTCTTTTCAGCAGTGTTTCCCTCCCTGTTCTTGTTCTTTTTGTTTTCCTTGGTTTCTACCTCTCCTCAATTGCTGCATCACTACCCTACTCCGCTGGTTCCCATTCCCCTGCCACATTAAACCCTCCCTAACCATTCTACCAAGTATCCCTGCCAAGGACATCAGTCCTGGTCCTGCCAGGTGTAACCTGTCCAGTTTGTACAGGTCCCAGCCCCACTAGAACCAGTCCTAGTTCACCACAAATCTGAAACCCTCCCCCTCACACTATCTTTCCTGCCACGTGTTCATCCTATATATCCTACTGTTTCTGCTCTGACTAGCTTGTGGCACTGGTAGTAATTCTGAGATAACTACCTTTAAGATCCTACATTTCTACCTAGTTCTCAGTATTCTGCTTTTAGGACCTCATCCTTTGTTCATTGATGTCGTTCGTACTAACGTGTACCACAACCACTGGCTGTTCGCCCTCCCCCTCCAGAATGTCCTGCAACTACCTCGAGATATCCAGACCCTAACCTAGCACCAGGGAGGCAACATACCATCCTGGCCTCTTGTTTACAGCCACAGCAATGCCTTCTATTCCCCTTACAATTGAATCTCCCATAACTATAGCATTCTTATGTCCATCTCTCCCTCCCTCTGCAGCAGAGCCAACCATGGTGCCATGAATTTGGCTGCTGCTGTTATCCACGAGAGGCTATTCCCCTCAACAGTATCCAAAAATGTATATTTGTTTTGCAGGGGAATAGCCACAGGAGATTTCCGCATTGACTGCTTAGCCTTGCTGCTCTGCCTGGTGGTTATCCATTCCCTTCCTGCCTGTGGATTCTGAGTCTGCAGTGTGACCATCTCTCTATACGTGCAATCCACAACACTCTCCGTCTTGCAAATGCTCTACAGTGTCCCCAGACATTGCTCCAACTCTGAAATTCGGGCTTCCAGGAGCTGCAGCTGGAGACACTTCTTGCACACATGCAGCTCCCGGGCACTGAAAGTGTGCCTGGCTTCCCACATCGAGCAAGAGGAGCAAACTGTGATTTGGAGCTCTCCTGCCGTGTCTTATTCCTTTACGTTAATTAATCCTTACAATGTTAAATATCCTTAATACTAAATTGAAGCTTCTGATGCTCTCTGCTCTGATAACAATTTCACAAAACTTACCTGTTACTCACCAACAACAGTTTCCAGAAACAATTTAGCCTCACACTCCTTTATCCACTGGAACTGTCGCTGCTGACCTTCCTGGTTTTGCTGAGTTGCCATACTCCACCAGTAGATGGGGCTTTGATTCCTTCATGGTCGAGAGAATATAGTTCACTATTTTCTGCCAGAAAATGCCCACAGCCACACATCTGAAGTTCCAAAGCATTTAAACAGTCATTGGGAATGCTAGCATCCAATTAAGTAGAGACGGGATGGGTTGGAAAAGCATAAGTTCTAACATTTTAGAATGAAATTAAAGAGTTGTAATTAGTGCCCATGGCCAGGCTGTGTTAAGTCTGAGCTCCTGCAGTTTAAATACAGACTTGTCCCATTATTTTGTCCAACTCCTACGCAGGTGTATTTATAGCACGAGAAATAAGGAGAGGGGAAAGTGCTTTGACCAGGATCCTGTCAGTTCCCTGTCAAATCCGCAATCTTGTTGACTGTGGCGTCCTCAGTTTTGAAATCAAGAGTCCAGTACATCTGTTTACTTTTTGGAAAAGTCACCACCTACTTTGAAGTGACATGTTCTGCTCTCCTCTGTGATTCTTGATGAAGTTTGGGTACTGAAGACTAAAGTGCAGGTCAACAGGTTCTGCATGATCTCCAGATTTGCCCCCATCAAAATCACAATGAAATAGTGAAAGATCCAGTATTTGGAGAGTTCAATTCACCCAAAACCCCTTCCCTTTCTATAACACTTCTATTTCTGAGAATTATTCCATATATAGTTTTCATTAAAAACAGAAAATGTTGGAAACACTCAGCAAGTCAGGCAGCATCTGTGGGGAGATATAGTTATGACGAAAGGTCAGCTTGACCAAAAATGTTAACTGTTACTCTCTCCACACATGATGCTTATCCTGCTGTGTATTTTTAGCATTTTCTATTTCTATTTCAAATCTCCAGCATCTACACTATTTTGCTCTTCCACTTCATATTACTTTTTCTCTAATCTATAGCAATTTTAAGTTATTTTCATTTTCCCTGTGGCAAAATATTGATCCCATTTGCAAATTATTTGCTGCATTTATGTCATCCAGATTCTTCTAATTACTAATGAAAGCTCAAGAGTTCAGTGGATGAAAATGATAAGTTTTCAGATTCCTATTAATCCAGGTGCACTCTGTAATGTAAAGTTTGATTGATCCAAGTTGTTATTTACAGTCAATTCAGTTTCTCTGCATGAACTTAATTGTTTAAAAAAGTGAATATTTTCTTTACGCTTTCTTTAGAATTGGCTGCTGACTGATGAATAAATTAGTTAAAAACCATTGATGATGAACGATTACCTGCTCAAAGCTATAAACTGACAAATCGCAGATTTATCACAGTCCTGAAAACCAAACCAATTGGATTTCAGGTTCTCTTTTTCACTGCACAAGTTCATTTTTTTAAAGATAGCTGCAATGTCTGTGTATAAGTTTAACAGTGTAGAACTTCAGTGAGACTATGTTTGAAGCAGTCAATTCTTTGTGGTGAAGATAATTTGGAATGTGCTTGGAAACGATTGGATGGCCCTGTATGGTGAAAAGGTCACGCGAGGGATGCTTGTTTTTAGTTTCACCGCAAAGTCTTGTTTCTCCCGGAAATGGGGACTGTGAATATTTTTTTCTCACACTTTGTCTAAACTTTGACACCAGTTCCATGACATAAGGTACATTTGATGGTGGTGATATAATTGCCCATATAGCACTAAAATCGCTTAAATAAAGCCAAAGAATCTTAGCAGTTTCTCCAACAATTTTTGCTTTTGTTTGAAACGTTAAAACAAAATAAATAACAGCGGATGTTGGAAATCTGAAAAAAAAATCTTGCTAGAGAAACTTTACAGGTCTGGCAGCATCTGTAGAGAGAGTAACATAGTTACAGATGCTGCTAGATTTGTTAAGTTTCTCCAGCAATTTCTATTTTTGTTTTAGATTTCCAACATCCGCAGTTATTTGTTTCATTTTAAGGTCTTAAACACTCGCTGTGCTCTCCAGTACACCCTGTGTTTGCATAAAATCTCTGCAGGTTATTTGGAAAGATAAAATGCGCCAGATTCCAGAATCTTTTTCACTATTCCCTGTTACCCTCCAGATATTAGATCAACCATGACCATAGTTCACAATCTTGAGGAGCTGACTGGCCTCCTCTTGTCCCTGTGCTCTGATGTGGCCAGAGCTAAAATGGTCAAATAACCCACGAAAGCCTTACACTGATTGGTTAGTTACTGAAGACGGAGGGAGGGGGTGTTGACTGGACCAAACCCCAGCAGTCAGTTTTGAGGGAGGGTCACTGGACCCGAAACGTTAACTTTAATATTTTCTTTACAGATGCTGCCAGACCTGCTGTTCTTTTCCAGCAATTTCTGTTTTTGTTCCTGATTTACAGCGTCCGCAGTTTTTTCGGGGTTTTTTTGGTCCCAGCAGTCAGTTCCTGGCTTGATCCCGGCGGTTTCGAAGGATCAGTGGGATGTGTTTCCTTGAAATGCCCAAGATCCAATACCTAGAGGGCAGTCGCGAACTTCTTTTGCAAGCTGCAAAAGTTTTGCTGCGCGTCAAAGTACGGGAGCTTATCACAACAAAGAGGAGTTTGGCCGCGGCCATAGCTGGGGAGGTTACAGTATCCCGGGACACAGTTTGTAGCTGGGTCTTGGACGCAAGGAACAAATTGCCGAGCTGAATGATGTACCCGGACCAGAGGAATCGGTAGGAGCTGCGAACCAGCCGTCCGCCTTCCTTCTCCCGTCTGGAGAAAGCCGAGCATTAGAGGAGAGAGTTGGAACAATAATCCGCACCCACCTCCAGCTGCCAGATCCCCGAGGAGATACTGCAGCCCCTTCTTCCCCATCCCTGGACCATGGCTTCCATCAAAGCCAAAGCTCTTTACAGCTTCCAGAGTGAGAACCCCGAGGAGATCAGCATCCAAGAGAATGAACAGCTGCTGGTTTTTAATGAGAAGTCTTTGGATGGTTGGCTGGAAGGCCAGAACAGCCGAGGGGACAAAGGGCTCTTTCCAGCTTCTTATGTGGAAATTCTCAAACCCAGTACACCCTTACCCTACACTTCCAATTCTGCTTTCACTCACCACTCACCAGGGAATCACTCTGCAATTTACTCCCCCAGTTCAGCCTCTTCCTACCAACAGGGCAGCTATGAGGAAGATGATGATGATGATTGGGATGACTGGGATGACTCTTCCACTGTGTTTGATGAACCTGGTGTGTCCAGTAACACCAATGGCCACAATCATCTCCATCCATACACAGTCTCCCCATATCCTAATGTGATGTACCGGCAAAAGCCATCAGTAGAAAGGCAGGACAGCACTGCCAGCAGACTCAGCACTAAAAGCAGTGCTGTGGGCAAGAACTTCAACCGCTTCTCAAGTTTTGTTAGATCTGGTGGGGAAGCATTCATCCTGGGTGAAGTGCCTGCTATCTTTAAGACTTCAGAAACCTACAGTGTGGTGATGAGCCCTGATGGGCCTCAGTGGAGCGAGAGCTCTCACCCCTTCACCTGTACCATTGAGGAACCCACTAAGCAAACCAAGTTTAAAGGCATCAAGAGTTACATCTCCTATAAGCTGACGCCTAGTCAAACCAACAACCCTGTTTATCGTCGCTACAAACACTTTGACTGGCTACACAATAGGCTGCTGCACAAGTTCTCTGTCATCTCTGTGCCACATCTGCCAGAGAAACAGGCCACTGGCCGATTTGAAGATGATTTCATTGAGAAACGCAAGAGGCGCTTGATTCTGTGGATGGACCACATGACAAGCCATCCAGTGCTTTCCCAGTACGAGGGGTTTCAACACTTCCTAACTTGCACAGATGACAGGGCCTGGAAACAGGGAAAAAGACGGATGGAGAAAGATGAATTGGTCGGTGCCAATTCTTTCCTGACCATCCAAATCCCACAGGAACATCAGGATCTTCAGGATGTGGAGGAGAGGGTGGACACATTCAAAACCTTCTCTAAGAGGATGGATGACAGTGTGCTGCAACTGACCAACGTGGCCACAGACCTCTGCCGCAAACATGTCGGAGGCTTCAGGAAGGAATTTCAGAAATTAGGCAATGCTTTTAATTCAATAAGTCAGGCTTTTGAATTGGATCAACCACACCTTGCAGTGCCTCTGAACAAGGCCATTTCCAACACGGGCAAAACATATGAAGCCATTGGAGAGTTGTTTGCAGAACAGCCCAAGAATGATCTGTTCCATATGTTGGACACACTTTCCCTGTACCAAGGCCTACTGTCCAATTTCCCAGACATCATTCATGTTCAGAAAGGTAAGCTCACCTCTCAATTATAGCAGACCTCTGAAGTGTTGAAGTTCTCCTTGACATGATAACAACTCACTATTAATGAGTTTGTGCCCATTCATAATAGCTCGGTACAGAAAATAAACTGCCTTAAACCTCAATCTTATCTTTCTAGCTCTGTTGGTGTATATCTGTTATTTGTTCAACTCAATGTCCAAGGACATTCATTGTATTAATAATCTGTGATGATCTTGTCCTGCTCAAGGGAAAGATATTATTGATAGTGGACAAGCAAAATATCTGTACAGAGCGAACCTAGGATTATATCAGATAGGCCGTAAAGATAAGCAGTGTTGCATGAGAAACTGTATGCACTGAAAACCACTAGGTATGTTACAGAAGGAGAAGTGTATCACACTGTGAGAACTGTGCAAACTAAGCAGTATGTAACACTGAAAATGTATGGACTGCATAACTCATTACATTAAACAAGGGGAATTAATGGACTGAATTTACAGGAGGAACTGTATGGGGTTGCTGCACCAGAGAAAAGGTTCGGGCTGTGGGAGGTTGTCGTGTATCACATGGGATCTGTGTGGTCTCCAGGTAGATGCACAGATTATTAAGATGTGTGCAATCTATGTTTATTGTACTCATTACTCCATATCTATTTGCCAAAATGAAGACTGTGACTTAGAGATAACAAGGTGTAGAGCTGGATGAACACAGCAGGCCAAGCAGCATCAGAGGAGCAGGAAGGCTGACGCTTCAGGTCGGGACCCTTCTTCAGAAATGGGGGAGGCGAATTGTTATCTCAGATTCTCCAGCATCTGCAGTTCCTGCTATCACTGTGACTTAGAACCTAGTTCATTGAGACACCCAAATTGGTTTCGATTTTCTGTAGAATGTATTGAAAAGGGATTTCATCAGAGTTTGAAATTATAATGTATTTATTTGTGCCTTCACCTTCAAGGGAAGCGAGTCCCTCCAACAATTGATATTGAAAAATTGGAGTAATTGGTCTTGAGTGTTAAATTGAGCTTTAGCCTCTCCCATTTTGTGGTATTTTCAAATCCTTTTTCTTGTCTGTGTCCTCCAGTGACACAGGCAGGCAGTGCTGATATGAAGTAGGAACTGCTGATGCTGGAGTCTGAGATAACAAGGTGTGGAGCTGGAGGAACACAGCAGGCCAGGCAGCATCAGAGGAGCAGGAAAGCTGACGCTTCGTGTCGGGAACCTTCTTCAGAAATGGGGGAGGCGAAGGGGGCTCTGAAATAAATAGAGAGGCGGGGAGAGACGGTGATAGAAGGTGGATAGTGGAGTGGATAGGTGGGAGAGAAGACAGACAGGTGAAGGAGGCGGGGATGAAGCTAGTAAAGGTGAGTGTAGGTAGGAAGTGGGGGTGGGGATGGGGATTGGCCAGTGAGGTGGAAGGAGCGGATATGTGGGAGAGAAGATAGACAGGTCAAGGAGGCAGGGATGAGAAGGGGGCGCTGGTCTTAGGATGAGGTCGGGGGTGGGGAGATTTTGAAGCTAGTTGAGGGAGGGGTGGATCTGACACAACTTTCCAAGGAAATATAGCTCAGACTGGGAGCTCATGCTCCTTGGCAGCCTGGATGGATGGTTCAGAGTCACAGTGAACACCATCTCATTCCAAGCCTGGGTATATACCATCATTGTACTGGCTCATCTGTGGCTCAGTGGGTAGATGTTGCTTCTGATTCAGAACATTGTGGGTTCAAGCCCCACTCCTGAGACTACAAGCATTTCAGCAAGTATTCCTCATCATTGGTGGTCCTTTGCAGATGAGGATGACTCTCTTCCACTGTCAGGATGAGTCTGTAGATGGCTGAATGGACTGATACGATAGTTACGAGCTCTGTTACATGTGGGGCAGGTGGTGATCATGGGAAGGGGTGGGTGGAGCATTGGTGTGGCAGCATGCTGTTTTCACCTGTCTTCCATTTTTTTCCTGATGGCAAGTCTGTGTGCACGATAACTTCTTGGATGCTTCTCCTCCACCTTGTATGGTCTTGAGCCAGTGATTCCCAGGTGTCTGTGGCAATGATGCACTTTGCCAGTGAGGTCTTGAGGCTATCACTGAAGCGTTTTCTCTGTCCACCTGGGGCTCGCCTGCTGTTTTGGGAGTAGAGCACCTGATGGGAAGTCTCGTGCCGGTCATGATAACGACATGTCCAGCCCAGTGTGGCCGATCAAAGGTAGTCAGTGCCTTGATGCTGCGGATGTTAGCCTGTTTGAGGACTAGTGTCGGTGTATCTTTCTTCCCTGTGGATTTGCAGGATCTTATGCAGAGAGTGTTGGTGGTGCTGCTCCAGTGCATTGAGATGTCTGCTGCCAGCAAGTAGTAAGGTAGTGCCACACTGTTGAAAGTGCTATCTTTCCTGATGAGACAGTGGATAAGGGGAAAAGCAGGGGAATTCTCCCTTATGTGAACCAACATCACTAAAACAAAAGCACTGGAGATTTTCATATTGCTGTTTGTGATAGGTTTGCTGCGCACAAGTTTGCAGCTATGTCACTACGACAGTGACAAACTTTACAAAAGTGCATCACTGGCTGTGAGTGGTTTGGGATGTCCTGAGGGCCTGAAAGAGTCCATAGAATTGTAAGCTATATTTCCTGAAACGGAATGCAAAGGGAACTCCCAACCCCATCTAACTGATAATTCACTTGATCGTGGCCGCTGAGATGTGCATGAATGTGTGTGTGGACAACAGGCATGTACCTGTGGGGATCACTTCTGAGCAGATTTACCTGTTCCTCTGGTGGATTTTGAATCATTGCAAATGGCTTAGCTGGAAATGTACATAATTCCCTCGCCCTGTAAATGGCTACCTACTTAAGTGTGTACAGCTGTGAAGTCACAGGCAATAGAAATAGTTGGTCTGTATCATGACGGTCTGTGATTGTTTCAGTAGAAGCCAAGTAGTGTCATGTTTGAGTTGGGGAGTGATATTTGACTCAGCCTCTGAGGAATTTGCATTTTTGAGTGCTCAGAGAATAGTTTATCATATATGTGTCACAGACTCATCTTTGCAATGAGCCTATCACCACTTTTCACTTCTGGACAGACTGGTTAGAATGGTTTAATGATAAACTTTCAAACAGACAAAAATGGAGCAGTGACAATGGCATCAGTATGACAAGGAAGAGCTGTTCGTCCCCATTCCACCTGAGCTGTCAGCAGCCTTTGACAGGATGAACATAGCATCCACCTCCAGCATCTCTCCAATACTGTCTGGCTGAATGTGGCTGTGCTCCCCTGGTTCCAGTGAGATTATCATGGCGTCTTCGCAGAAAGGAAGATGGTTGTGAGTGATGAAGTCAGTCAACTCAGCTCCAGATGTTACTGCAGGATTTCCTTAGGGTTGTGCCCTTGGCCCACCCATCTCAGCTGCTTCATCAATGACCTTCCATCCATCATAAGGTTGGAAATGGGGAAGTTTGCTGATGATTGCACAATGGTCAGCACCATGCGTATCTCCTCAGATACTGAAGCAGTCCATGTCCGAATGCAGCAAGACTTGGACATATATCCTGACTTGGGCTGACAAGTGACAAGTAACATAAGTGCCACACAGGTGACAAACAATGTGCCAACAAGAGAGAATCTAACCAAACATTCCTTGTTATTCAAAGACATTACCATTATTGATTCCCTCAGTATCAACCAGAAACTGGACTGGACTGAACTGGATATATAAAGGCTATGGCTACAAGAGTGGGTTAGAGGCTGGAAGTCCTGCAATGAGTAGCTCACCTCCTGACTTCCTAAAGCCTGTCTTCTGCCAGCAAAGGCGCAAGTCAGGAGTGTGATGGAATTCTCCTCACTTGGCCGGATGAGGGCAGCTCCACTCAAGAAGCTTAGCACCATCCAGGACAAAATAGACTGCTTGATTGGCATCACATCTACAAACATTCACTTCCTACACCACTGATGCTCCATAGTCAGCAGTGTCCGTCATCTACCAGATGCATTGCAGAAATTCACCAAGGCTCCTTAGGCAGCACCTTCCAAATCTACAATAACCACAAGTTAGACGGTCAGAGGCAGCCAACACATGGAACACCGCCACTTGCAAGTTCCTCTCCATGTCACTTTTCATTCGGCCTTGAAACTATATTGACATTTGTTCAATGTCACTGAGTCAAAATCCTAGAACTCCACTCCTAACAGCATTGTGGGTTTACCTACAGCAAGTGGATTTCAGTGATTCAAGAAGGCAGCTCACCACCACCTTCTTCAGTACAATTAGGGTTGGACAATAGATGCTGACCCAGGCAGTGAAGCCAATGTTATAATGCAATGGACCTGTCTCGATGAGTACTGTATCCCACTGAAGACCTCCACCCAGCCATACTGTACCCCCAGTGTTATACAGCAGTGAAGCTGTATCCCCAGAATTGGATTCTAGTGTTATACCGTGATGAACCTGTAACCAGTTGTACTTTATCCATTGTTATAAAGCAATGGATATATATCCACTGGAACTGAACTGTTGTGTTCTACAGTGATAAATTTATCTCCACCAATATTCTATCCCAGTGTAATACAGTGACAGACCTGCCCCCTCCAATACCATACCCCTGTGTTACACAGATCTGTCTCCACTAGTACTGGACCCCAGTGTGAGACAGTATAAAACTAGGACCCACCAGAAGTGGATCGCATTGTTTAAAATAAACAGACCTACTTCATAAGAGATTGTTTGCCACAGATGATCTTATGAATTCTCTGAATTACACATCTGACCTTGACAGAAAATAGGTAAGCTGCTGAGACCATAAGGATTATGGTTTGATCCCTCTTCAGTTAACTGATCTCTTGGAACAGCAAACACTCAAAGGACCCCAACTCCAGTATGCAAGGAGGGATACTTAAATAAAGTATAAGCATAACTGCTGGGCTCTTTGTAAATAGTTTTGAAAGGAAAGAAGGTAAAGAACACGATATTAACAGTGTGAGGTCTAATCTGGAGAAATGGAGCAATGGATGCATTCATGTT